GAGTCATGTTTTCCCAGATGGTGATGAACTGCAACTCCCAGCATTCCTCACTCTTCCACAGTGCTTTTTAGGGCTGCTGGGGATGGTAGTCCAGTAAGGTCTGGAGACACACACAGATGCCCTAGCAGGGAAAATTGGCCGGGTAATTGCTGCGGCTTTACTTGGAGGCATTCTGCAGCTCCTGAAAATCACTTTAACCGATTTTCCCTGGTTCAGCAAAGGCAACAAGTAATAAAACAAGCAACAGGTACTGGTAATAAAATAGCCCAAATTGTCCTTTCCAGCGCAGATGAAAAGAACCAGGGAAAGGGAAATCGCGTCTGCCTCTTTGACCAACGGGAGGAGAAGTGGTTGGAAAAGTGCGGCGTTTCGGCTTGGGCACACAGCCTTGCCTGCAGGCGCTGCCAAGGACACACAAGCAGCTCCGCACAATTGCCCGGGGAGGGGGGCAGGCTCTGGTGGAGAGCCTGGTGGAGAGCCAAGCGACATCACCTCCGGGGCCTCAGAAGCCGTGCGGAGGATCCACGCACCTTGGAGCCGCTGGCCGTCCTCTCGCGCCCGCCAATCTGGAGCCCTCCATCCTCATCCCGGAACCTCTTGCCCTCTCCCAGCCGCCCCTCTGGGACCTGCCCACCCCTCCAGCCTCCTAAGCGCCATCGCAGCGGTGGGGTCACGGAAGCCCCTTTCCACGCCGCGCAGCCCTTCACCGCCAAACCCTTCCCTGATTCATCGCACATGAGAGGGGCGCGGACGGAGCGCCAGCTCCTGCTCGGAAGGCGCCGCTTCTCCCCTCCCGGGCCGGCTGGCTGGCCTCCGACGCACATGCAGGCATCGCCGCCACCTCGCCCTCTTCCCCGCTGCCTGGCCGCTTCTGAGACCCAGAGCCCGGCGAGCCGGGAAGGAGCTGCTCCTGCCCGCCAGTCCCAGGGCTGCGCCGGGCGCCTGAGGGCCGAGGCGGCCTCTGACGGCGAGGGAGGTGGGCTGGGTGGTGGGGGGAGGCTCTGGCGCGGCGCAGAGGGCGGCCGGGCAACCAGGAGGCGTGAGGACCGGCTCAGCTCAGCTCCCTCTCTCTATTTCTCTCTCCCTCTCAAAGATCCTTAAAATCCTTAAAAGTTATGCTTGGGCGGAAGATTTTTTTCTTTTACAGATGGCGTGGGTGGGCCCGACATTCGCGGGCAGGCAGGACCATACCCGCCGAACCGTCACCTCCCCACCGCCCTACACGCCAGCCGGCTCCGTCACCGGACCTTCCAGCTGACAAGCGTAGGAGTTCGGCGCTGCGGCGGCCTCCCCTTTGCCCTCCGCACCGGCCAAAGCTTTGCCTGATGTTCCAGCTGACTGGCGCAGGTCCGGGGGTCGTCAGCTGACGGGCGCAGGAGGTAGGCACCGCGGTGGCCTCCCAGCCGCCTGCTCCTTCGGCTGGAGCAGTTGCAAGGGCTTGCATGAAGCAGGCGGCTGGGAGGCCGCCGCGGCGCCTACCTTCTGCGTCCGTCAGCTGATGACCCCCGGACCTGCGCCGGTCAGCTGGAATGTCAGGCAAAGCTTTGACCGGTGCGGAGGGCGAAGGGGAAGCCTCCGCAGCGCCGAACTCCTGCGCTTGTCAGCTGGGAGGTCTGGCGACGGAGCCGGCTGGCAGAGGGCGATGGAGAGGCGGCGACTCGGTGGGCAGGGTCTTGCCTGCCCACCCGCCCCATTTGTAAAAGAAAAAGTCTTCTGCACAAGCATAACGCCAGCAGTTCTGTGACACGGGGGCTTGAGGCACGGAGGCACGGGATGTGGAGCGACGCCGTGGGAGGCAGCAGGACAGGGGGGAGGGTTTACCTGCATCCTGCCAGCTGACCTCTTGAAGCCTGCCTGAATGAAGACTTTTAGGGTGTGTGGAAAGGGAGACAGACTGAGGGCTGTATTAAGACCATAAATGGCTGCTTAAGGAGAGTGGAAGGGAGGCGAATTCGGGGTGGAGCAGAAAACACGGGGGGGGGGAAGGCATTAGGAAATAAGCACCAAGGTACCTGGTGCCTTGCAAGGGATTCCCGAGTGTTCCACAATTGTTTTTCCTCTCTCCTCTGCGCGAGAAAAACTTTTGTGGTGTAAATCTGAAATGAGTCCCTGGGGACGGCTGGGCCTTGCTCTGCGCCTGCGCTCTTCACACGCCTCCTGCAGGGCACATTTGGTAAAGTTCGTGCATGCAGGCTGCCGCCAAGCAGAGGGAGTAGCACAGCTAAGGAAAAGGGTAAAAAAAAATGGCGGACTGCGTTGTTTGGCGACCCCCGTGAAATGGTCGTTCGACCCCAAATGGGGTCACGACCCACAGGTTGAGAACCGCTGCTGTAGGAAATGTAGCTGCATTCAAAACGTGTTAATCACAGTTTAATGCTTCATGAAATATTCTTCCCTTATTTTGTGTTAGTGAAGCAATCTCAATGTTGTAAAAAATGTTAATTATTTATGTAGAACATACCCAATTTACTAGATTAGGAAGTTGGCTCATTGCATTTGATTTTATCAGAACTATGCAATTATTATTAATCATTTAAGAACAGGAAATTTCAAATAAATTTACATGATGATGTTACTAAAGCATTCCATTGGTTAGGGTGGCTACTCTTGTCTACATTCTGCTCTACTTGTGTTTCTCCAACAGATTTACATTTTAGAGCTGTGCTTTATCTTCTCAAATTATTAGTTGACTTCTTACCTAAAGGAATGTTTTATAAGAAATTTATAGCTGGGGACTTCCGATTTTGCCCAGTAGCACACGGTCATGGGATTGTGAAAGCTCTGCTTCCCGCAGCTCTTTTCGCCCTGCCAGGGGTCCCTAAATGGGTCTGAAGCCGCCCAGAAGAGGCAGTGAAGAAAGAGGGCTGCCCCAGTGATTCGGGAACGATGGCGGTCATCCCATTCAATCGGGAAATTCCCTCTAACCCGATAGGAGAAAGGCTGGCCCCATCTCGGTAACCAACCCAAGCTACTTGCAGCCGAAGTCCACAAGTACTCACCAGAACATCGCTGAACAGCGTGCTGAAACTGGGTGAGGAATTTGATCTTCTCTCTCCTACTCTATATCCTGAACTTTTGGAAAAGATACCCCAAGAAGCAAAAAAGCCTCTGAAAGTGAAAGGAGGGGGAGCTTTGCCCCACCCTCACACAGAAGGAAGTGGTGATTTAAACTATTAAGGGGGACAAAAACATACTGTTGCTGACATCTAGTGGTGGAAGAGAATATATAACTTTAGCTGCTTTGTTATAAGTATTGGCAGGATGCCCAGAATGAGATAACATACTTCTTTGATCTTTAAAAAGAGCTAACAAAGATTCTGGGCCACAAGAAGCAAAGATTATAATTGAAAAAACAGAACTGACCTTCCTGGATGATAAACACCTATTGACTGTTACTTTAAAGCTGTTTTCAGAGAAAGAAAAATGTTTGAATTCTAGCTATCATGGAATCTCAAGAGCTGGCAAAAAGAACTTGTCAAGAAAAAAACAAATGCTTTCCAGGAGGAAATGCTCACTATGTTACAATTAATCCAGACAACAATGGCTCTAAATCACAATGAAATTAAAAACAACTTTGATGACATAAATGGACATAACTTTACATTAACCCCACAACATAAGAATTTTCAGAAAATGAAAGAATCTCCCAATGGAAGGGATTATGATTTAATGCAGATGGAGGAAAACACACAAGACATGAGTGAAGCACCAGAATTGGAAGAGATAGTCCACACCCCAGAATCACAAAACAAAGCTGAAGATAAGAAGAAAAGCCTGACAAAATGGATTACAGAGATACCAAAAAATCTACGACTTGAGAGACAAAAAAAGATAAAAGAAATCTTACCTAATTTGTTTCTCCCATCCTTAACAACATCCACAAGAAAATGGCAAGACTTTTTAACTAAGTGGAATAGATGGATGAGAAAAGCTATTTGGCGAAAGAAAAAGACTAAAATCAGATTCAAGGGATTAGAAGAGTGGACCTATCAGAAGCAATTTTTAAAGATTAAGCATTTGTTTGAATATGGTTAAAATATTATATGGTCTGCTCAACCAGTAACTATTGACTGGATTATATACTGTATATTGATAAATGAAATGTAACTGTCTTATCAGATGCAATTTTTAAAGATTAAGTATTTGTTTGAATATGGTTAAAATATAACATGGATTACTTAATTAGTAAATATCGAATGGAATAGAGTTAAAAAATGAAAAAATGGGGGATATAAATGAATTTTAGTTTTTTTCTCTTTTGCTTTTTCTTCTTTCTTATTCTGAGTAGTATTGTATTTTTTTTTTATGATATGACAAATATAATTGTTTGGGAGGATTATTGTGAGGGAAACAGCTTAGATATTTAACCATAAATCAACTTTGAGAAAATCTTAACAGATAAAAATGATTTCAATTTTGTGGGGAAAAAGTCTAAATGAGAATGTTGAAAACAGGACATATAACGCAACCAAGAGGACTAACTAGAAAACAAGTTCTATATTGATGCTATTACTAATTGGATAAATGTTAGAAAAATGTTTATATTTAACCTCTTTGTTACTAAAATACTAAGAACTGTATTAATCTAATGCTTGCAAAAGAGAACAATATGGGGAAAGAGAAAATCAAGGAAAGCTGTTATGCAGAGTACGATATGATAGAAATTGACTATTATTGATTGCTGTGAAATGTGAATTCAGACAACATGCTGTTTACTAGTTTTTAAAAAATCAATAAAATATATAATAATAAAAAAGAAATGTATAGCTGCACAATTATTCCTTAGCAGTTTACAGAGTAGAGAGATGTAAAGACAGAGATGCAGAACAAGATAAGAGAGATATAATAGTTGATTTGTGGAAGACACATCATAATTTGAAAGACTTTGATTTATGAAAAGTCATACTGAAATGTAATAGTCGCTAGCTTTCCAAGTTACAGTACAATACAGCATCTTGATTGAAAATGACAGGATTTGGAACATTTTTAGGAATAATTGAAATGGTTTATCAGAAATCTAAATCATCTTAGAATGTTTTTCGCCTTCATAATTACTGTTATATAAGATATGATATGTGTCAAAAAATTCATGTCTTCAACTGCCCAGTTTTATTTATTTGGAAAATTAATAGACTAGGTTCTGGCAATGATTTTTAAAAGAAGCTTTTGTTTTTTAGAATGGTACTATCCAATGTGAAACATTGATTTGCCCACTTTTTGATTGTCCTCATAATTCTGCGCCTGCGTATGTTGATGGCAAGTGCTGCAAGGAATGTCAACGTAAGTCTTTAGATTTTTATATATATAATATTCATTGTTCCTTATTAGAGTATGTACAACCCTTCATTTCTGTGCATTTGTCTCAGGTTTTCACTTTTTATCATTGAAACAGAGTGTAATTTTATTGTTAATGAGATTGGTGCCAAGTGTTTACAATGAACATTTATAGATGTTATATTAAGAGAAAATATAGGCAGTTCAGCCAAGCTTAAAGTTAAATGGAATAATTGTTATTTATCATTTCAATGAGTTTCTGGATGTGACTGTTTAGTATGTGAACTGATCTATTGAATATCAGAATTTTCTTAAAGGAAATTGTCCAGAAGAAATCATGAAATTTAGATATCTAGCAGGTTCCATTCCTTGCAATTCACAAAGCTTTGTGTTAGGTCTATTAATCTTTAACATGCACCACAATTTGCTAGTCTTTAAGATACCATAGCATTCTTTCTTGTAATTTATGTTACCTCTGTATGCATACGTGATATATAACATGCTTTAGGAATGGGTAATAATATTAGTTATTCTAGAAGAAAATTTTGCTCATGTTACTCTGCCTAATTGTTTTCTTTAAAATCAATCTGCACTTTAAAAATCATTCCAAATTTATGGAGTATAAAAATGCAGATGACTGCAATCCTATTTCTATCAGATTTAGATACATTGTAGAATTGTGCTCTTATTAGGATTGAATCCTCATTTTCTCAATGTTGTTTCTACTTAATTTCAGCAATGTGTATTACTTCTATGGTAATATTTAAATAGCATTATTTTCTATTGCATGTTATCATGGGGCAAAATGATTTTTATATATGTAGTCTTCAATTTATGACCAGTTGCTTACTGTCTCGCTGAACCTACAGCGGATCCCCAAAAGATAACATCCCAGTTCCAAAGTTCCAATAGCCCCTCCTCTGTCACATGACCACATTTTTGTGTGTGTGTATTTGTGTGTGTATTTGTGTGTGTATGTTCGTGTGCATATGTGTGTGTGTGTGTGTGTGTGTGTGTGTGTCTGTCTGTCTGTCTGTCTGTCTGTCTGTCTGTCTGTCTGTATGTATGTATGTATGTATGTATGTATGTATGTATGTATTCAAAAACTGCCATTTATTTCCATTATGGGAAGTAAAATTTCCATTATGGTCATAAGTCAAGGATTTCCTGAAATATGTATTTATTTGTCATAACATTTTTCAGAATGTCACATTTTGAATGTAACATTACTCCTTTCTTCCTCTCCCCCTACCCACTTTTTTATGAATACATATCACATATATATATTAAACTTTATTCTTTATTTTTAATTTATTGAATTAAATCAGGGCAATATTTAATTACACTCTATTTTTTTCAAGTCATCAATATTTTTCCCATTAAAATGAATCCTATATTTGATTGAATCTGAAAAGACAACAGAAATCATGCCATTACACAAAAATTCTTTGCTCTTATAACTACTAAATCTTACAATATATAGGCTCAATTCTCTTCTTTCTAAACTTATATAAATGTACAATATATCATGTAGCCACTTGTATATAGTAGTTAAGGCACCAGGCTAGAAATTATGATACTGTGAGTTATAGTTCTGCCTTAGGGATGAAGCCAGCTTTGTGACTTTGGCCAATGACTCTCTTTTAGCCAGTCCTAAGAAGCAGGCAAAGGCAAACCACTTTGGAAATCTTGCTTAAAAAAACTGCAGGGACTTGTCTATGTAATCATGAGGAATCAACACTCCTTTGAAGGGACAAACATTATTTTTTTAAAAAAATAGTATATATCAAATTACATCTTTATAATCATGTTCTGTTCTAAGTTTTTTTATATTCAATAGCTCTTTTGCAGACTTGTACATATAAACACAAATATGGTAATTATGATAAAAAATCAAATCAGTTTATTACAGCCCTAAGTCCAAATACAATAAAATATATCATACTAGAATATGAAACACAATAAATATAATAGGATATAAAAATAATTAAGAACAGATGAAATAAAATAGAATGAAAAAATAATGTTGTGGGTTTTGTACAGATGGTAGCACCAAATTGGGAGGCTTGGAAAAATATTTTTGACTTCTTGTGTGCATAAATGAAGGTCTCAATAAAGGAGAATATTTGTAGCTTATGGTTGAAATGAGGGATTCTTGGTGCTGTCTGAACTTGGTTGTTTTCTTGCACATGTATGATTACCCAAACTAGGTAACTTCATCAGTGCTAGTCATCACTGAAAACAACCAAGCTCAGAGAGCGCCAAAGGTACCTCAAATGAAGGTCTGCTTAGAGTTCTTATATAAGGAGTAGCATAGTAATATGAGTTTCTATTGAGCCATCACCATATGGACATAACTCAAGGTATACAGAAGTACCCTCAAAAGATCCAGAAAGGACTAGTGAGGGCAATGCACCTAGTCTGCTAAAGTGAAGACCTGACAAAATTTCAGAATCATAATGGATGATAAAAAGGAGGCTGCAGCAAACCATTTTTGCAGGAATATAATAAATATTGGGGTAGCACCTTGCTTGAATTTGTTTGAGATCTACAGTATATACCAAATTTATTGTTTCAGAGCAGTTCTAGCATCATCAAAATATCTGAGAACAGAAGTTTCCATAGAGAAATCCAGTGAATAAATTTTATCTAGGGCTTTTTGAAACCATGCTGATTTAAAATGATCTCTAAATACCAGTGGGGCCAAACCTATAGGAAGTAGAAGTAACTTTACCTAGAAGGTAATAAGAAACCATGGTATAGTGTCCACTGAGACTATATCTACCTCTACATGTAAGATGGCATTTTGGGAACCATTGGCATAGCTTGAATAAACTTATTTTGAATAGTTTCAAGAATGTGAAGCTTTGCAAAAATAAAATTGAGAGTCATAAAGAAGCCAGGGATGTAATGAACTCCTTTTAAATAATAAAAGTAATTAAAAAAATTGTACAACTTACAATAGTTATAGAAGTAACCTATGCAACACTTGCCCAACAAAGAAAAAAAAGACGATTCCAGGTCAGAAGAATACAGAACTGCACTCCAAAATATTTATAGATGTACATCTGTTCAATTTGAATCCCATTTACTTAACATTTGTGAATTTGCTGATAATGTCAGACAAACACTGAACCTTACTTCTGTTGGTTTAGTAATAGTTTTTGTTCAGAAATAAAATTATGCAGAATAAAACTAGTGCCTTTTTGTCAGGTCTGCCCCAGTCAGGTCCCTTAGGAAAGAAAGACCCTCGACTCCATGTGGGTGGAGTATAGGTTCTTTTATTAAAGTTGCTGGCTGCAGTAAAGCCAGGCTAGAATGAAATTTCTCACACAAAAAGTTATAAATTTCTCCCCTCATTCCAGCCCTCCCCCATGACTAATTTCTCCTAAGCCAATGAAGAGCCGAATAAGTGTTTTGAGAATGCTGAGATGTTTGGGGTAGTCCACATTCCAGGGTATGTTACCTTGAGTGCTGGCACACTCCGGGCTTCCCTGGTTCCGGGCTTCCCTGGTCTTTGTCAAGCTATCATCCCCCTCCCTATTTCCCATCACATCCCCATATACATTTATCCCCTCCACTCCGTCCCTCCTAGCTTTTGATGGCAGAATGCCAGTGAGGTGCCAAACTGAAGATGACAGACCTGAGATACTGCCCCCCTTAACAGAGATGTTAGTTCTCCAGAGGAAACAAGAAGGAGGGGAAGACACACATGAAAATACATAATTAATTAAAACAGTCATCGAGATTTATCTGGGTATTGTTCGTGGAACTTTTTAAGCAGTTTAGATGCTTTAATGTATTCTGAATTCTTTCTTTCAGTTTCAGAGGGAGGGAAGTACATGCCTAAGGGTTTTTGGTAATTCGAGTTCCACAGTCACTGGGTTACTAACTTTTAGGATAGGGAAAGGACCAACATACTTCAGACCCAGTTTTTTGGAAGGTTGTCTAGATTGTAGGTATTTAGTGGATAAATAGACCTTGTCCCTGATTTTGGTCTTTCAGCTTCATGCACCTTTTGTCAGCTTGTTTTTTATTTGCTTCCCTCACCTCCTCCAGAGCTTTTCTCACTACCAGCCAGGTATTTTATAGTTGGGTAATGCATTCTTTTAAGGAGGTAGTCAAGGGGGTGGCCTGGGGTCGCTTAGGGATAGATACAAAATCCTGCCCCCTGGCCACCTTAAAAGGAGTGAATCCAGTGCTACTGTGCATTGAGTTATTGTAAGCACCTTCAGTGAAAGAAGATCCACCCAATTGTCCTGTTGATAATTAATATAACACCTGAGGTACTTGTCCAGGACCCCATTCATATGTTCACAGGCTCCATGCGTTTTCAGATCATGTGAGGAACTAAGCCCCTGGTGGTCCCCAAAAGTTTTAAAACCTCTTGCCAAAATTGCAAAGTGAATTGAACTCTGTGATCCAAGATTATTCTTTCTGGGGCTCCATGCAGTCTATAGATGTGCTGCATGAACAATTTGGCTAAAGTTCGAGTGGAGAGGATTTTTTGACAGGGCACAATATGCACTTGTTTGGAAAATAAATCAGTTTTCACCAAAATCACAGTGTTTTCTGAACTCTTGGGTAGTCCATTGAGATCTCTTTCTATGGGGCTTTGGGCTCCGCCACCGGCTGGAGGAGTCCTGGTGTTTTCCTTTGTTGCCTTTTGGCAGAGGCACAGACAGGTAGCTAGCTACACAGCTCTCTCTGTCTTTCTTTAGTGATGGCCACCAAAACTGGCACTTAACCAGGTGCAAAGCCAAAATGCCCTCATTTCTTTTGAATCATGGCTTTTCTGCAAGACCGTTTGTTGCTGACTTTCAGGAATGTAAAATTTGGCTCCCACCCAAGCTAAGCCATCCTGCATCGTATATTCGCCCTTATGGGTTTGGAACCACTTTCTCCAGTGCCAACTGGATTTTTAGCTTGCACTCTGGTGACTGTTCGAAGTTACAATGGCACCGAAAAAAGTGCCCCCCAAGCCACAGCCGAGCAAGACAGCACCC